GCCTCCACCACGTGCACAGCCAGCTCACAGCACCAGCGCCGGCACCCGGCACCCAGCACCAGCACCGGCACCAGCAACCTGTCTCCACCACGTGCACAGCCAGCAGCACCAGCACCAGCAACCTGTCTCGAAAGCGCGCACGGGCAACTCATTGTTGTTTGAAGTAAGAACCCCATAGCTTCGCTATCTGGAGAATTATTAGAAGTAAGAACCCCATAGCTTCGCTATCTGGGGAAATACTCCTAATTCCTAACAGGATAATCTGGAGTCTTTTCACCCCTCTGCGAAGAGGGCGAAGCTAGGGTGGACGTTCTTTTCGCTTCGTCCTCTCGGCCGAGTCTCTTGGGTAGCAAAACCAAGATCGACACAATGAATCTCGCTTGCCAACTCACAGCCACAATTTCCACCCGCAGAGTTTCTCCACTGTCATCCAGCACCTCCGAAAAACGCATGGAAAGGCCATGTTGAACATGTGAAAGGCTCAAGGCTTATGCAAAGGCTCTTCCAGAAACATCCAAGGCCAATCCAGGTGTTTTGCATCTGGCTAGCAAGCTGACTTTTCGCCGAACCACACAATGCTGACAATTCTGGATGTGGTCGGGCTGCTGCTATGAACAAAGTGTGAAGATTCGCGTAGATTATAGGACTTGGACACTCCGGAAAACTCCACCCAACAGTTCCACGTTCTTGTGGGCTCCTTTGCACCAAGCCCATGTTCCTCGCCTCGTACAACATTTCATGCGGTTTGGCTTCAGCCGGCAAATTCTCAATGGAAAACATGTCATGAGCCAGTTGCCAGCTGTCACGCACCTCCAGCCAAGCATGTCGCTCGAGACAAGTCATGTCCAAGACACGATGTGATGAAACAGAATGCCAAGGCGCTTCGTTCAACATGCGTGCACACCAAAGGAAGACGATGCCTGCCTTGCGTAGGAGACCAAATGGTATGCATGCAACGTTCGTCCAATGACTTGCTATGTAGTCCTGTTAGAGAGGTTGCTCCTTAATTACTGCAGAAAGTACACTTGGAAATCATGAACATTATGAACATTGCACGAATAGCATGAAGGATGGCTTGCTCCCGACGTTTGCAAAATCAGAAGCCAGGGCAGTCAAATTTCACCCGCAGCTTCAACAACATTGGATGCCATTATGCCTAACTACTACGCTTTGACAGGGTGTCTAGTCTCGAAAGGGCGCTCTCTTTCTTCTTTTATGTTTCACTACCCTTTTCTAGTTGTCCTGTGGAGACTTTCATCAAACTTCAGACTTCAGAGTTGCCAAGGTGCAGAAAAGCTGAGCTTGCTCACAGCCTCAGAAACTGTGCAGTTCTGTTTTTGCATCGTCTGTTTCTTAATCCGTTTTCTGTGCAGTGAAGTGGAGGTGAGGGAAATTTAAAGGACCTTGAGCCGCGAGACGGTAAGGTTGGCACCACCTAAGCAAGGGCTCTTCAAAGGAAGCACCCTGATTTTCTTCAACGCCAAGCAGCCATGTTGCAAAGCTCCATGTAAGGGCCATTGTTCCAATTATCCCATTTCTCTTGCACAAACTCGCCGTCCTGGCAGTCTGAATTACTTGACATTATTCTCGCGACACACTTAGACCGTCTGACCTCAAGGTAAGACAGAAAAATGCTGGTCTCAGAAAGGCTAATGCCTCACGATCCATTTGACCAAGAGATTCTTTCCCTCAGCAAGGCCTCGGAAAAGACTTCGCGATGGAATTGTGCATAATTCTCCTGGGCGTCGTGCACAGCATTTTGCCTCGGGAGATGGATGCTGGTCAGTGCTATGATGTGCACGAGGACTGACACTTGATAATGGCTGAAGATCAACTCGTCTTCATGAGTTGGAATCATGAAATCAGAAGGTCAAAAAAAATGATAAGTCTTGCACTTCTCCTGAACCGTCTCAAAACCCAAGGCACACAATATAGTGGTTCACATAGTACAGGATGAAGAGTTGAAGCCACAAGTTCACGGCCAACGTCACAATGCCAAATATCAGCCTTGCGAAGTTCACCTTCAAGGAAGGATGATTCGGATGAAGCAAAGAAATGAAAAGGTCTGTGCAAAATTGTTCCTGGACCCACTGCAAATCTCACTAATTTTGGGAGCGCCAAAAGCAAAAAAAACTACATGTTGTTTTTTGTGTGTAGAGGGGAGGAAAAAAGAGAGAAAGAGAGAGAGAGAGAGAGTGAGTGAGTGAGTGAGTGAGTGCAGCGTATCCCTGCAACGTCCCATGCCAGGCTGCAGACAGGGAAGTGGAAGGAGCATGCATGAGATGCGATGGATAGATATATAGATGGATAGATTGAGTGAGTGAGAGAGCGAGAGAGAGAGAGAGGGAGGGAGAGTCAGGACAACTGAATTGTGACTAAATCTGATGCACGTCTGCCACTTTTGGTGTCTGTAATAATTAGTGCCCACCGCACCTTTTTCACATTTTGCCCGTGCATGATGACCGACAAGTCCCCAATTGCTGCAGCGATTGCCACGCCATAGATGTCTTGAGGCAAATCCACAAAGACCTTCCTTTCCTTTCAGGGCTAGCTCCAGAGATATCTTCTCTACTGCAAATGACCATCGCGTTGCCCCCAAATCTCCATCTCCAAAATGGCCACCTAGTATAAAAATCCTACGTGAGAAACACAAGTGACAACTTTGGCAGGTCCAAGGGAGATACATTGTTGAGGCGCGCCAGGCACGCAAACACACACGATTGAACAACCCTGCGACCGCCTGGTAAAGCTCCTGCAGCGTTGTGAAATGAGGTGATTCTCTCGCCCTCTCTTCAGGCATCGGCATGGCGAAAAACAGTGAGTCTGTGAGAGGTGCACAAAAGAAAAGGACTATATGTTGTTCAATGAAGCAAGCACGGTTCGCTTCCCTCAACAAAATCTGAATGGTAGGTAATTACCCCTGTTGCGCGCATCGGACTCTCAGCACCTCTGTTCTTTCTACATGCGGAACTGTGGAGCAGCAAGGTTGCGGAAAGTGCTGCCAAGAGCTGCACCCATATCTTTCTGAAAGAAAGACAGTTGTGCCCATTTGAATTATCATTGGCATCCCCTCCTCGCTATGTTCTTGACGTGACTTTCTTCACATGCTGCACTTGGTCTCCGGACTTTCCGCCCAAGCACCTGAGAGCATGGCACGAAAGTACTCGGAGCGCACTTGCCTCGGTGCAGTCAAATGGGGACCGATTCAGAGCAGCTCAAAACAACTGTGACACAGTTGTTGTGGCGCACAAGTGACATATATATAGAGAGTATCTTATATAATGTATTGTATATTGTATATATGTGTTCATTTGCCAACTCAGGAGGTCGCAAGAGCGCAGTGAGACCGCCCTCCAGCGGTTCCATCTCCTGTGTCACTTTACTTAACTTTACTCCACACGTTCCGAGTGCAGTTGATTTGGATAGTCAAGGGCCAAACTCACTCATTGCTTTCGTTGTGCGCAGGCTGCAAATTATTGAAAATGGGTAGGTCAAACGATGAAAAGGCGGCAGCAAACAGCTCAGAGACGGCCGCCTCATCTTCTTTTGGCCTCAAGAGCAAAGTCTTCAACTTGGCTGTATCAAACAGCCCCACCGCTTCGGTTCACAATCTCTGTTCTTAGCAGGTTCATCAATGAGCACGTCTTCTCTCCCTATACCTCAAGCACTGCCTCTGCATACTGGACACCCACGTTCAATGACCACATTCAAACAGGCCTAAAAGAATCCTACGTTTGTGTTTGCATTGATTTGTGCCATTAATCTGCCTGTAGGTCTAGATCTTATGCACAGGCCTGCAAAACATAAATAATCGTGTGAGAGAAGTTTCTTGCACAAATCGTGTCAAATGTGACAGTCCGCACCCGTTGGCACCCAGGCCAAGCAGGGCAAAGAAAGCTGAAGCGCCCTTTCAGACTCTTGCTCCGGTAAGCAGTCAAGAGATCCTGACCATCAAGAAAAAATTATTACATGCATACATGTAACGTGTATGAAGACATGGTGTCAATTGGCGTGTTGTCTCCTTTCACATGAGCGTCTGCCAAAATGTTGCTGCAAAACGATGAGGACGACGTGAACAACAAAGGTTATCACTTTCGAGAGGCCCTCTCAAATCTCGCTTTTACAGTTTCAGCAAAAGTGGTTTGCTCACGCAGCCGCTCAGTTCCATAGTCATCGCTGGTTTGGCAGTTGACATACTTGTTACAGGGCCTCGGGCAAAGTGCCAGCGCCCCTCACACGGCTCCTTTTGGCCATGAGCCGTTCCTTGCAAGGAAGCTGAGGAGTCTGGAGTCCGAGCTGAATACAAAAACTACATACATCAAAGAACCCAAGCTTGGATCTTCAAGTGTTAGCTTTTAGCTGAAGCTAATGATCATAAAAAATGATCCCAGAGGATTGAGCAAGCTGTGTGGGTCTCCTGTAGCTCGCCAACGTCTCGTAGTCCCCAGCCTTCACTCAACAAGGCAAATGAACACTTGTTGAAGGGATGCTTTGAATGTGTGGAGAGCATGGAGGAACAGAAGTACAAGCATGCTGACCTTCTGCCAATCGCAGAATACGTGCAAAATGTTCACAATCTCCGATCCCAGAAGCAAAAGGACGGTCCTGTCCAAGATTGCTACAGAGGCTCAAAAACCACTGCTGAAGAAAAAACATAGACCAACTGTGACATGAAGAGTCGAACATATCCGGTTGAAGACCCGTTGAGACCAAGTTCAACTGGTTCAGCCTGGGCCTTATCTTGGTCTACTGGAAGAGCTTGTTTAGTTTTGAATGCAGTGAACTACTCTCTTGATTTATGTTATGGATGTATATATATAGCTATATACATACAATGTTTTTTGATGAGAAGGGACTGTTGTGGGTTGCAGAAATCAGGGTTCTGAAGATTAATCTGTATTAATCCTCTTACATAGTTGATGCAGGGCAAGGTTAATTTTAAAAAAATAGAATAAAAATCAGTAAGTCAGCTTGCTTGCGCTCCCCTTCTAGCATCAGGTCAGCAACACATTCAAAGGGCCAATGCTTCCTTCAAGAGCTTGTCAATGTAGTTGAAATTGGCGAAAGAATATGAAAGGCAAGTATAAAGAGTGTGAAGTAATACATAACACAGAACTATTTAAACAATTGCTTGAGAGATTGGTTAAGAAAAATAGAGAACTAATAACACAAAATCCTAACATTGAAGACTATCTAACTGCCATCAATATTATTGACATCAGTGATGTGACAAAGTAGAAGGGAACTTAATGATGTATATTGTGAGTTCAAGAGAGCAAAGTATGAACCCAAAATCATAATGGAAGAAATCTGACTTTGAACATCAGAAGTCAGAGTTTGATAAACTGTGCTGTAGATACTTGTATTGAAAGTAGTGATGCTGATACGTTCAATAGCGTGAATGAAGCATGTTCAACTTCAACAAGGGGATGTTCAATCCCAATCACAAGTCCTACTATCGCAAAAATGATATGAACATCTTTTCAATGGCACACACCATAGCACCAAGTGGATATTTTGAATCCAAAGGTGGGGTCTGAGATAAACACATTGAAATAGATCTGAACAAGGCATACACACAAGGCACAGTTGACACTGTCAGGATACCGGTGTTTTCTGAATTTGATATTTGGAAGAGGTATGATTATCAAATATATGATTTCAGCAAGATGAACTCTTTCACATTGTATTTAGTGAAGAGCAAGGTTTGGAACATATTTCTCAACAGAACAAAACTTGATTTATGGAAGGTGTGTGAAGAAATATGTTGGTGTTGTTGAAATCATTTACAGTAGTTCAAAGTGCAATCTAATACATACAAGGTCAACTACAAAAAAAAATGATTGATGACTTGTATAGTTTAAAACTGGATGAGGATGAAGAGAAAAATAAGAAAAGAAATAAGATGAATTCTTCTATCAACATTGGACTACTGGAAAAAACAAACAAATGTAGCAAAAAGGTCGATAGCCTTTTCTAATATGATTGATGCCTTTTACTATCAAGAGAAATATGGTGGTGACTTAAATGTAATCACTGAATATATGAAGGAGGGTGAGGAGAGAATTATGATGTGTGATGCTGATTGCTTAATTGAGAGAGATCAAAAAGGCAATGAAAATGAGATAGATGAGGAGCAAAATGAATTTGTTTTCCAAAAAGAATTGAATGTGGATAAGCATTATGTTTCAAGCATAAGTGACACCAAAAGTCTAAAGAATTGATATAGGTGTATCAAAGAGCTGATTTTACAAAACCATAACCATAGTATGAATGTTGCCTATGAGAAACTGAAGCAGCATGATATATATATACAGGTGTATTCAGTAAAGACTGATGCATTTGTGATTGATAAATGTAATTTAGGGAAGGCAAAGAGTCTTTTAAAGTTTGACAATGGTATTGGTGAATGGAAGTATTGTAATAGGTTCAGCACTCCATCACAACCCTTTTGTAGAAAACCAAGCTTCTTAGAATGCATAATAGAGTATTCAAATGAAACCGGCTGTGTGAAAGATGAATGGAACACTGATGAGATTATCAATGAACACAACAAAAAGACTGATGGTTAGAGGTGATGTTGGAGGAACAGGCAAGTCATATTATATGTAAACACCTACAGGAGAGAAAATGCAAAGTAGTATTTGTAGTGCCGACTAATAATTTGAAACGAGAATGCGGTGCAGAAGCAGTAACCATCAACAAGTTGTTTGGCATATCTTATGGTGATGAGAAGCTCAATAAACCATGTCCATAATGTAAATGGGCTTTGATTTGGGGAGTTTGTTTGATTTTAACAATTCTGACAAGATTGTAGTAGCCACTGGTGATACAAGGCAGTTGAAAAATCCTGAGAGTGTAAGTAATGTTTTTGAGTTTGAAGCCTATGCTAATCACTGTATAGACTTGATGTTCAAGAATAACATTATGCTGTATGAATGTGAGAGGCTCAAGACTGATGAGGATAGAAGGAAGCTATATGATGTTAAGGATATGATGTTTAATCAGAAAGAATATGAGAGAAATGAAAAACAAAGAGCAAGGAAATCAAGCAGGAGCTACAAGCCAAATCCTGCAGATGAGCAGCAAATGAAGGTTTGAGTGTGGAGCAAACATGTAGGGTGCATTAAGGAAGATTACTTCAGATTAATCTGGATTGTATAATCCTGGATGACAAAGCCAAGAGACAAAAAAAAAGATTTCCACACTAGTCCAATCTTCTCATCTTCAACATAGTTCTGAAATATTTCTTTTTTTGGTTTCTTGGGGTTGGACTAGTCTGGAAATGTTTGTTTTATATTTTTTGTGGGTCTTTTGTTTTTTTGGGATTGGACTGGTCTGGAAATGTTTGGTCTGTTTGGTTTGTTTGGTTCTTTTGGTTTTTTGGGATTGGACTAGTCTGGAAATGATTGTTTGTTTCTTTGGTTTTGTTTGGTTCTGCTTTATGTTTTATGTTCAGATGATGGCAAGGAGCATTGCAAACAAGATTGGTGGAACTTGCAAGTTCCAAGTGGGCGTGCGCTTTGATAGGCTAGTATGGCTCAATAGGTTCGGAAAGGGCTCTCCAAAGCCAAGAACATCATGTAGCTCATGAACAAAGGTGTCACGGATCAGTCACTCAGACCTTTCAAATTACAAGGCCCTTCTCAGGGGTGCATTTCGGCATGCAAAACAAGAAACAGTCACAGATTCATAAGTCACATGATTTATGGTGTAATAGGATGAAATATGTAACTTGGGAGTTGCTTGCACTTTGCACCTGGTTCAGAGGAGCCGGGTTCTTATGACGGAAGGCAAAGTCACAAAGAATATGAAAGAATCGCTGGTTCGATAGTCTGGAGGTTGCCAATCAATTTGTTGCAACGATTGTGATGGTCTGGGGCGGATCTTGATCACCATTTTCAATGCCAAACCCCGAAGAGATCTTTGGACCTGAAAAGGACTACTCACCACAAATAGTTCAAACATCCATCTTCCTGCACCCGCGCTGCATAAACCCATTGCAACAGCGGGAGGACAACTGACAGCCTCGAGCAACGACCAAATGAAGCAAGAACACACAAACTCAAACACTGAGTTGCAACAAGTTGCCATCTATGCGGTGAGTTCTCATGAGTGTGTATTATAAGCCCCGAACTCTTCACCAGTGGCAGCCTTCAGCTGGAAGATACAACTATGTGTTCGGGATGCTTAATCGGCTTAATCTAGCCAAAGTTGAAAGTTAATGCAAACAACCGTGACAGCAGTTTTCATGATGCCCTTTTCCGAGAATTCGTTCGGATATGTTTTTCTCCGTTGCGGCTTGCGATCTTCCTTGTTTGCTGTCTTCTTTCCCTGTCGCAACATGTGCCTGGGGGCCCTTGGGGCATCGTGCTCGCAGCAAGCCTTCAAGGCATCGCCTTACGCGAAATCTGAGATGGATCAATGAAACGAACCTGAATGCACACAAGCGCGGAAAAACAAACGGCCAAACGTTGTTTGATAGATACTCTTGCTTTACACTCTCCAAGGACATTCTGGGGTTACACTCTTCTAGGACACTCTTGTACAACACGCGTGTGCGACACTTTTGCTTGGCACTCTTGCGCGACAATCCTTTAAAAGGGTGCTTACGGTACGACATTTTCGTAATACCGTAAGGCACTCGTGTGGGACACTCTTGCAGGACACTCTTGCCACATTCTCTTGTAGCATCTTGTAGCACACTCTTGTGGGACATTCTTGTTATATAACTCACTCTTGTGACTCTTGTCTTTTACAAGACATGGTTGTGGAACACTCGTGCGGGCCACTCTTGTCGGACACTCTCTTAGGACAATCTTGTAGGGCGCGCTTGAAAGGTACCCTTGTAGGGCCTTCTTGTGGGACAGTGTTGTCAGACACTGTTGTGGGATAGTCTTGCGAGACGCTCTTGCAGGACACTCTTGTAGCGATCTCTTGTAGGGCCATTGTAGGACACTCTTGTAAGGTTCTTTTGCACGACGCGTGAGCACTTCGTACGGGACTTCCGGAGAGACAAAAAAGTGAAGCGGGAAGCCTCATCAGAACGAAAGCGCTGCGAAGCCCTGCCAAGCACGCCAACCCCCACAGCACAACGACATTCACCTGCACGGGTCGCAACCTCCCGATTCCCTGCACCTGCCACGCAAAAATACGCAAACTGCCTCCCAGCACCTCCAACAGGCACGAAGAACTGCGCCTTCCACGACATGTGCCAATGCCCAAATAGCAGAGCGACACTGAATCAACACCTCCAACCTGAGAATGCCAATCCCAAAGGCAGGGCGACGCAAAGTGCTGACCTTACAAAATACTGCACCCGCGCAGCGAAATCATCCTTCGCCCTTGATCATGTCACGTTTCTGCACCATTTCAGATGAATCTCATACTTCATATTTCCATCCAAAACCTCCTCCACAAGCTTCCCCCAACGGGAGGGCCTTATCGATCACATGCAAGCGGCAGCGAACGGTTGCCAACATGAAAGCAACGCCAGAACAAGGCTCTACCCGCAGGGAATCAGCGCAAACCAGAAGAGCTAGACAAGAACAAGTAAAAATTGTGCTAGCTGCCCTTGGATATCTTTGAGGAAGTGCGTCATTGCAGCCCTAGTGGACCCCAATTGGCGCACACGGTGTGGCCGTCGTTGGTGGTCA